CACCGGCATAACAGATTTTATCTGCAGGAGTGTATAAATAGTGGGAAATATTTCGATACTGCAATGCTGTAAAGTCTCTAAGGTTGTTTCTTTGGGTGAATTATTATAGGTTCATTTTTGGTTTCTTCCCATTCATTTTTTCAAAGAGAGAGAATTAATTCCTAAATTTACTGATATATTCAGAAACTTGTTCTACTAGAATCTTTGTATCACTGGTATAGAACATAATCAGGCATCAATCTGTTGATATATAACATTTCGAATTCATTATTACTTATTGTTTCTAAGTCTTTTACTGTTTTACTATTTTTGTGCTTTCCCCCAGTACCCCCCCCCCTATCTACGATGGTGGTTTGATGAGGCATATAGCCAGGGTAGTAATATTGTTTTTCTATGACTGTTGAAAACTAGACCCTTTTAATGTAACATTTTTGTTGGGTAACTGGATGCATTACACAAAACAAGCCACGCCCCGTGTGTAAGAGCCTTTTTCTAATTTTGACATGTAATGTGACACTTTTCAAAACTGACGGAAGTTTTGAATCGTCTTACTTCACGTAACCAGTTGCGTAAAGTAAAATTTTACATAACTGGTGATGTAATGTTCATTTCATTCATTCATTTCACACAACAAGAGTCGGTAGAACTCATGTAAAACTGGTCATTATTTTTGTTCATGCGAAATGTTTCGTCAAAATTAGAAAAAATATTGTACGTGACACGTTAGGAAACGCCATTTTGTGTAACTCTGTGATGTTGCGGGATCTCGCTTCGCTCGTCCCGCAAAATCCCATCGTTACACAAAACAACGCGTTTCCTAACTGATTACGTAAATATCTATTACACAACAGGCTATGGCCAATCAGCAACAAAGCAGATTCATTACCTACAAAACAGTTGACAACAGTTGTAATGATAATATGGGGCATGCAGTGAAACGTTTGAATCAGACTCGTCATGAAATGTCATAATTTGACAATAGCTATCTGGAGTGATTTAGAACTGACTTTTTGTACAAATATGGATTCAGAAAGCGAAAATGAATTCAACTGCTCTCCACCATCAGAAGTTTCGAAAGCTGCCAATTCAAGTACAATCAGCCTTTTGCCCGAGGAATCTGAAAAAAGGTATGAAGTGGTTTGGCGAAAAGCAAAACTTGCAAATTCGTTTTCGGGTAATGTACTGCTAGCCTATTTTGGCGAATTAGCAGCTAAACACAAAGCATTCTCCTTGTGGTCACAGTATTCCATGCATATACTAAGAAGCACAATTTCAATGGAAAATTATGTGAATATTGACAAATATTTGGAATAACGTGCATTTCTAAAAAGGAAATCTGATGGATATATGTCAGAGAAAGCGAAGATATTCACTGCTGATGAACTCAACCAGTTCATCACTCAGTCATAGAAAAAGTATAGTATTCTACTTGCGTGTAATGGCTATCACTCATTCGAATGATTACGACGTCCGCCTGCGGCTCACGTCGCAAACTTCATTCTCATGAGTAATGGCCATCATTACACGCTCGTCGAATAATATACTATTTCTGTTGAATATTCCGAATGATATTATACATAAAAAATACCTACCTATTTTTTTTTACAAAAATGGTAGAATGGAATATTATTTCAAATGTTCATTCTGTGTTCAATGATCGTCGTGGCATATACCTCGGAAAGTAGCTGCATGTTTTCTGTTGAATATACTGAGAATCCGAGAAAGAGTTCATAGAGAATGCGAATTCTCAATGTATTTTTTAATGTCTAAATATAAACCTATCCATTTTTTTCATGTTCGATCATGATATATCTGAGAATATTCCTTTTCAATAAATTAGGGGTGTTATATCATTTACGAAAACAATGTCAACCGCATCAGAATAAAGCTATAGCAACAGCACACCAAAAGTGTTAGATTTATTTTTTCTTCGTTCCATTGTTTATTTGTTCATTTATAATTCGTATACCAGTATGTGTCTTCAAGAATTTTGTGGAAATCTTATCGTTTGTGAAGTTTTCACATTTGAAATAATGGATGAAATTATGAGCATTTTATTATACTTGCAAACTTTGATGGTCAATTGATTCTCTTGTTTTATGTCGTATTGGCACTTGAAATGATAGAAGACTCATGGTATGTTTAGGTACTATGGCTAAAAAAGTGCACTTGATCTTATTCATATACCCTCTGGTAACCTAACCTGAACTGCGACGCATCTTATGTTGTGTATACTTGTATACATAATATACCGTGTGCCCATCTGGAAGACTTATTACGATTACCCCTGTTATAGGTTATATCATCGATCTTAACAAATTTTTGTATGTAGATGAGGTATTTGAAATGCATGTTTATTATCTCGTTTGTAATCGTTGCTCGACTATGAACTCTTTATATACTTTAATATAGAAAAACACTATAAGGTACGTATATTGTTCACTGATATCAAAAACGTATCAAGATCGATAAAAATAAACGTTTTACAGGATTTGGTGAGTCCCTATGGGTGCACACACTATTATACGTCCACCTTAAGGACTTACCACCCCTGTGAAATTGTTATTATCTGACCGATTTCAATGAACTTTTTTTTGTTGGATAGGTATTTGAAATGTCCATCCAACAAGAGCGTGATTTTACTCATGAACTGTAATCGTGGCCAACTGCGACCAACTTCATTGACCCATATTTGAGAAAGTACTATAAGGGATTTTTTTTCACAAAAAACAAAATGATGGATTCTGAATCACGATCACTTGAAAAACACCTTTACTGATTTTTATCATCATAACACACAGGGTGACCGAAAAAACGAATTATGTTTTTTTTTAAAGATGATCAGAAAATGTAGTATTGTGGAATTTTTGAGAAGAACTGATGACACATTAGTATTCAGGATCACTTTGAACATATCTGTACCGATTTTCATCATTCAAAAAGACGATGATGATGAAAATCGGTACATGTATGTTCCAAGTGATCCTGATTCATCTCCTTATTTTGAGTGAAGAATTATCAGGATGAAAAATATTGCTTACCTATCCTTTTTAATTTTTTTCTCAGACACATTGTATATTCAAATGACGAAAATTGAGACAGGTATATTTGAAATAATCTTCAATGATAATTTGTGATTATTTCTTTCTAGAAAAACCACAGAATTACATTTGCTGATCACCTATTTGAATAATTCGTTTTTTCGGACACCCTGTGTTTTATGATGATGAAAATCGGTACAGGTATATTTCAAGTGGTACTGATTCAGAATCCATCATCAAGTTTCGTGGAAAAAACCCCTGATAGGTAGTACTTTCTGGAGTATGGGTCATTGAAATTTGTCGCAGTTGGCCACGATAACAGTCCAAGGATTAGATCACTCTCTCGTTGGATGGGCATTTCAAATACCTATCCAACAAAAAAAGGTTTTTTGAAATTGGTCGGATAATAACGATTTTACAGGGGTGGTAAGTCCTTAAGGTGGACACACTGTATATCGAGGTATATATATATAGACTCAGTAATGTCAATACAGGTCTACATGATTTTGAATTGAAGTCAGTTATTGCATAACAATTTGCAGACAAGTTTTGGGCTGGCCCTCATCAGTGCAATTTAGAGGTAGTTTACACTTGATAATGACAAACATGACTCAAATCACGAACATTTCACATTTCACGATGTGGAAATTTTTTAACAGATATAAAAAAAAGTTGAACCTACAGTGTCATTCATAAAGTCGGCATCATATGGGAAAAACTTTTATTAATGACTTATTTCGGAATTTGTGTTGGACGTTAAGTTTTGCTTCAAAAAATATGAAAAATGGCCTACTCAATCGGGGTCACGTGACTTTCGCTACATGTCAAAAGTGACATTTTTTTCAAATTGATCGCTGAAAGTAGGCTTATTTGTTCGAATATCGAAAAAGTTTACTTGAAAAAGTTGTTTCTATGTCAATTTTACACATGCTCCTCGAATTTGATCTTTCTATTGCAACTTTTAGATTTTGATTTTTTTTAAATTTTTCGAAATTTCTGTAATATTTAATGAATTGTTAATTCCACGAAACTACTTCATACCAGTAGCTTTTTCATGCTACCTACTTTCAATTACTTATTATCACTGATTATGGACAGAAATATGATTTTCTTCAGAAAATGATAATATACCCGCTTCCAAATCCTGTTATGTTTGATGCAAAGTTGATATATCGTCAAGAATTTAGAAACGAAATTCATTTAAACTGATCTTTTCAGTACTAAAAAAATAAATATAAATGAATTTCGTTTCTGAATGCTTGACTCAAACATAACAGAATTTTGAAGCGGAGATTTTTGTCGATAATTAGTGATAATTAGTAATTGAAAGTTAGTAACATGATGAAGCTACTGGTATGAAGTAGTTTTATCGAATTTAGAATTTTTTTAATATTACAGAAATTTCGAAAATTTTTAAAAAATATCAAAATCTGAAAAATGTAATAGAAAGATAAAATCCGAGTCACATTTGTAGAATTCAAATAGAAATAACTTTTTCAAGTGAACTTTTTCGATATTCGAACAAATAAGCCTATTTTCAGCGATCAATTTGAAAAAAATGTCACTTTTGACATGTAGCGAAAGTCACGTGACCCCGATTGAGTAGGCCATTTTTCATCTTTCTTGAAGCAAAACTTAACGTCCAACTCGAATTTCAAAATAAGTCAGTAATAAAAGTTTTTCCCATATGATGCCGACTTTATGAATGACACTGTATATACCGTTGCTAGGCAACGCGCTTTTCTCCACTTTGACGGCTGCCAGAATAATTTTTGTGATTCGTTATGGCATCTTATCATTGAACATAACGAGAGTGTATTTGAAATTCACATAACGCCACTGATGAATCTACATTACCTAACGCGGTGAGAAGTGTCCCATTGGGACATTCATATAACTACTAAAACCGCCACATTAGGTGATTTGATTAGGTGAAAATGAGAAGAGATAAAAACTCACCAGCGAGTTGTTCTGGAGGAAGTTCATCCTGAAAAAAAGAATAATACTGTAGAACATTTTTCTCAAAAGATGAAATCGTTTTCAGTACACATTTTGTTTTACGGTTCTCAATATAACGAATTTCACGATATATGGAATTTAAATTACAAGATCAAATAGATAAGTTATTAAAAATTCACATTATTGTGTGGATTGTTTCAAATTCAAGACACAGAATTCAAAATGAAGTACATAGATAGATAGATAGATAGATAGAGAGATATTAAATCATTTACAGGGGTAAGAGCCCAATAAGATGGATTACAGACTTTCGGGCGTGGACCTCCATTATTATCATAGATCTAAATCTGAATACACTAGATTCAAAGTTTTGGCGAACACGCCGGGGACACATTTCGATTGTGTTATGAATATTTTATACAACAGTCGTGGATAAAGTATAGTATCTTACTCGCATACGATGAGCTATCAACTGCTTGTTGAATAATATACTATTGACATCAGCCTACATTCTGGACCACGACGTTTATTTTGTTGATCATCAGAGTTTATATAGATACACAGTTCAATTTGTACAGGGTGTCCGCTAAAAGGAGGTCAATCCATCAACCATATATTCCTTGAAGAAGAACAAAATGAGTTTCTAAATACCATTTTTCATTTAAGCCCTTCATATTCGATATACAGGGTGTCAAAGTTGAAAATTAAAAACTGTTTTATTTTAATTACTCGTGTTTTCAATAAGATATTAATCTTAGAATTGGTACATTACCTCAGCACAAAGAGTTACATTGTGTGAGGAAAACAAAACAGAAAATAACTGTCAAATATTTAAAATACTGGGGGTCAAGTACACACTTACCCCAAATTTTTTTGTACGTGCGCTAATGACTTCCGATCTATTTTTCTTCAAGTGTTCAATCATTTTTGAGTATTTTTCATTCCTTGTAAAATTTCGATAAAATTATTTGTTTTTAAGATAATTCGAAAAGTACTGGTTAATCGCCTCCTCGAATATTGACATCCAATTATGAATCACCCTGTATATAGGGTTATTGGTAATTCGATACATTCCTTTGGAGATGTGATAGGGGAGGTGGTAGTGAGTGAATTTAACCCAAATATGCATTTTGCAAATGTGAATAGTTTTTGAGATAATTACATTTTCTGTTTACCTGTTTATTTATTCACAAACAAAAATACGACTTTGTATTTTCATTCCATATATGATCTGAAATATTTCTAGGATTTTTTCATTCCAAATCGAGTTCCAAACAGAAGACCATAGTGTTGATGTTGATCATGTATTCTAGTTGAAAGGTTGAAAAAATGTAGAGCAGATTTTCGAGACACTAACTTTTAAACCATCAAAGTCTACCTTTTCGAGAAAAACAGAAAAATTTAAATATCTCAAGAACTATAAACTTTTGAATAATGCATAGGAATGTATCGAATTACCAGTAACCCTGTATAGTATATCCAATATCAATTGCACAACGTGCGGCGTCGGTGTGTTTGAAGTTCCTTTTGAAATGAGTGCAGGTACGGCACAAGTCTCTGCAATTGTTTTTGGGATAAACTATACCTACCTAAAACATTCTCTTCGATTTCACTTTCGTCTACATTTCGCATACATTTTTAATGGAGAATTCTGATACAAACAGAAATTGTTTGAATAATTCTGATTGCAACAAAATTCGAAAATGACAGTTGACAGTTTCTACAATTGACAGTTGACAGTTTCTACAATTGACAGGACGGACAGGACAGGACTCAAACGACTGAAGGTGTGTTCAAAAAACTCGGTTGCCATGGTAATGTGTTTAAGAAATTGTGTTGCCATGGTAATGTGTTAAATATTTTGAATGAATGACAGATCGTCAATCTATGATTAATAGATCATTTAGCGTGGTACATATATCGAAGACTTTTTTTTATGTTCAGGTTCCCACGAAGAGGGATATCCTGTAATGTTCAGAGAACATCGTAAGAACCAAACGAAATGAGGTAGGAATTGGTGTTCTTCTTAAATTTCTGGAGGTTATATGCCTCGGGGAACACCTCCCTTGGCAATGTGTTCCAGAGCTTCGCTGTTCGTTGAATGAACGAGTTTTTGAAAAGATGTTTTGCAGATCTCCAAAGTGACCACGAAGGGGTGCGAAGCCTCAACTCGACGGGTTAATCTCGCGGGGACTGCCAAGGGGGCAACAATTGTTGATATTTCAGAGGAGCATCGTCCATGAAAATATCTATAAAATAGAGCCAGATCACCAACTTTTCTCCGGTGTTCCAGAGAAGTAAGTGAGTTATTTGTGAGCGAGGCATCACCCACGAGACGAATTGCCCTTTTTTGCGGACAGAATCCAACAGTTTCAGGGTATGTTTGGGTCGGATAATACACTACACTGTTTAACCACTAACCAAACCAATTTTTTAAACGCCTCGACACGTGTTTCGCTAACTATGTTAGCATCTTCAGGAGGAGATTAAAACTGAACAAGGTACATATCCGTACGCTAAATGCCATTTAAATTATGTGAGTAAAAAATTGCATTGCGTGGCTTTCGAGAAATTTGCTATAATCTCCGGAACCCTACATAATATATTTATTAGTTGAATTGTCATTTCACGATTATTTTCTGTTTTTGAATTCCGTTTTGCCAAACCCATTTCTCCGTGATTTAGAAATCCGCAGAACACGCCTTCTACAGCCTATACAGGGTATTTCACGATGAGCATATACTATCTCTATATCGAAAATACGCTCCCTTCATTCAAAATATTTTCGACGATGCAGTGTTGCCGCTTCTACTAGAAAGTAGTAGCAACATTGTTATTTTAAATGGAACACCCTGTATTTCATCGCATTTTTAGATTCTCCCTGAAGAGCTGATTTCATCAATGCATCACACTTGGGGTCTATCAAAAATAAATACAGAGATATAGGGTGTTCAAAATCGAGATATTTCAACTTAAGGATTTTTTTGTGTCGAAACTATTCATTATCGGTCAAAACGGCTCACATGTCCCTATCTCAACTTTTGATTCACTATTTACTGATATTACAGGGTGGTTCAAGATTCAGAATTCTGATCACCCTGTATCTGTTCCGATTAAATATCAGTAAATAGTAAATCAAAAGTTGAGATAGGGACATGTGAGCCGTTTTGGCAGATAATGCATAGTTTCGACTGAAACAAATCCTAAAGTTGAAAAACCTCGATTTTGAACTCCCAATATCTCTCTAATCATTTTTGATAGACCCCAAGTGTTATGTATCGATGGAATCATCTCTTCATGGAGAATTCAAAAATGCAATGAAATACAGGGTATTCTATTTGAAATAACAAAGTTGTTGGTATTTTATTATAGAAGCGGCAACACTGCATTGCTGAAATTATTTTAAATGGAAAGAGCGTATTCTGAAATATTAGGGAGCATATTTCCATGTATTTCTCTCCACTGAATCTCGATATAGAGATACTATAAGCTCGTCGTGACATACCCTGTATATTCAGTGGAATCTGAACCACTAACACTTCATATCACTAATAAGTAATCTGGACACCACACAAACGTCCTATTATAGGTAAACACTATAATATCTACATTATTATCAATATAAAAAAAAATCAGAAAAGAAGTACCATTTTTGTTGTTGAGTTGAATGAGTTCGTTCAAAAGTTGTTCAATAAGCGTACCTACTCGCCGAAGAACTGGATAACGGACGCCTGCCGTCCTTAATATCAATTTCGTCGCCGTTATAGTGGGTTTCTAGCTTTTCTCCTATATTTTCTAATAGACTTATTTCTACGCCAGTAACCAGGCCGGATCAGCAACGGATTTGCTGGATAAGAGGAGTACATACGATCGAATCTTATGAACACTGATGACTCGGCTTCAGGCCATTGTGATAGACATCCGGTGTCTTATGTGGCGAGTCGAGTGATAATATTATTACCAAGTATTTATTCTTGAACAAACTAATTACCTGATCTGGAGAAATTGTTGGAGAAAGGAGACAAAAATACAATAAACCCAAAGAGAAGAAGAAGAGAAACCGATTTTTCGAACGCCTCGACATGTGTTTCGCTTACTATGTTACCATCTTCAGGAGGAGATTGAAACTGAACATAGTACATATTCGTACGCTGAATGCCATTTAAATTATGTGAGTGGGAAAATTGCATTGCGTGGCTTTCGAAGAATTTGATATAACCTTCGGAATCCTACATAATATATTTATTAGTTGAATTGTCATTTCACAACTATTTTCTGTATTCGAATTTCGTTTTGCCAAACCCATTTCTCCGTGATTAAGAAATCCGCAGAACATCTACAGCCTATACAGGGTGACCCAGGGTTAAACCGCCAAACGTTAAGGGTCGGTTATTTGGGCAAAAATAAGACTGTTTTTCTCATGAACATATGTCCTAACTTGCTTTGTTTTCGATATACAAGGTGCCAAAGTTTTCAGAAAAAATCGGTTCTTCATTAATTACGGCTTGAACTTACGGCAGATTTCGATGAAACTTGGTATGCTCATTTGCGGTGAAACGGAGCTCCATTTGATGTAATCCGAATTGAATTATTTCCATTGGCGTCCCAGAAAGTAATCAAAATGATAAAAGGATAGTTTTGTTTTATTATTTTATTTTATTAGGAAACTGATAACGTAATAGAGGGTAATCTAACTGATATTAGGACAAGTCAATTAGGATATAAACGGAGCACTGTGAACAGGACTCTGAAAGTTCAAAATTTGTTACCTGATGATTTCCAACGAAGAAGAGAATTTTCCGAGAGATTCCTGGGGCAAATAATGGATTATGCTTCCTTCTCCCGGCGGGTTATTTGGACTGACGAAGCAACTTTTACCCGGGCTGGTATCTTCAATCAACATAATACTCACATTTGGGCGAACGAAAATCCTCGTGCAATGAAAGTCAATAAATTTCAACATGAATTTTCATGCACTCATTGGCCCATATTTTCTACCTCCGCGACTTAATGGTCTAGCATTCCTCA